CTGATTATTTAAGACCTTGTATGTGAGGAGCAGGATTTTGACTTGGACGTAGATAGCCGTCTGTTTTATCTCAGAAAACTAATGACTGTCAGTGTTTTTTTTTCCATATTTTTTTATTCATGCTATAAGTTACATATATAAAATATATGCATGTTATTGCTTTGCGGTCCGATTGAAACGGTCTCGCACGCGGCCCGGAGGCCGGACGTTCCCCACCCCTACTTTAAACTGTGTTAAATTCTGCTGTGTTGTCAGATTGTGTTGCTCATTGCTTTCAGTAAGAAGTTCATGTGATTGTTGGCAGGATTATAAAAAGTTATGGGCAGAGTTCCCTAAAAACGTTACAGGAGACGGGACACATCACGTCAAAATGTCATAAATACAATAAAATCAAACTGTAATAATCTGTTGACATTCTTGAGATTTTCTTATTTCAAAGTGATTTCACATCTAGATGTCCTGAAACCAGGAACTGAACTCATCCATTATACGGAGGACTTTCAGCTTGGTGGAGGAGTGCGGCAGTCGAATACAAACATTTGTAGTTTTCGAAATCAGTATTTCCACACGTTCTCTTCTAGTCTTCTTAGAAAACCTTCTTTTATGAGTTTTTATGAGGAAGTGCAAAACTTTAGAAGTAGAGTCACATTTACAGAGACAAACATTTTGTCAGGCGAGCTGCAGACACAAAGTTCACATCAAGAAAAAACACAGATGAGTGTTTTCTCCCGCTGGGCGGGAGTGGCGGTGGGTGTTTGGCTGTGACGCTGTCACAAATTGAACCTCAGTTATTGGATCGTGACAGATGAGGCTTTGTGCACAAACACATCTCAACCCCTCCATGTTTTATCTGCAGCACAGCTACCGTGAGGTGGGCATCCTGCTGCTCTACCTGGCCGTGGGAGTGTCCGTCTTCTCGGGTATCGCCTACACTGCTGAGTATGAAGAGGTAAAGTTTGACTGACGTGGGGTCGCGTTCCTCACTGGTGGAAATCATTTCACTTTTAGTTTGTGTTCAAATAAATTCTTTGAATTTGCCTTTTAAAAGTTTAACATCTTAGTTTCAGTGATTTCAGTGTGAGTCTGTTTGGCGTCCGGTTTTACAGCCATCATCAGTTTACAGTTTGAATGTTTCCAAAACTTTCTGAGCAGTTTGAATTCCTCTCAGTATAAATGTCGGAATGCTAACACGGCGATGAACGTAGCAAACACTACATTGCGAAATGTTCGGCGGATGCTACGGTATGAAGACGGAAAACATGGCTACACACTTCAACCAACTACTCAGTTACTTTGTAACAAAGTCTTTGTGTTAATACTCACTCGTGTTCCTCCGGCCAATGAAATCCTTGAGCTGATTTTCATGACATTTGGCTAATTAAAAGGTTTTGGCTCACAGAGCGTTTCACTTTAATTAGTGTCGTTAGACGCTGATAAATCCTTCACAGCGTAATCAAGCTGTTAGCTTTGCTTTGGTCTGTAACAAATAAAAATATCAGTGAGTGAACAGTCGAAGTGGCAGTTATCCTGTTTTTCAGGGACATCTGTGATGTTGGAAGACACCTGTTGGTGTAATTACTAATGATTCAATTCAAAGAGCACATTAGTCCGTGTGGTCAGAGGTTTGTCTTTATCTCTTCCTCTTGAAAATTAGAGCTTCAACTTTGTTCTGATAGATTTTATATACCAAAGTATTTTATTATTTAATTGTGTTCTT